CATCCACCGCTTCTCCCTTATCCACAAGGCTCGTTATCTTATCAAAGAATACGGGTGATGGTCTCTGTTCAATTCCTGGTATAATAATGTGCATACCACAACCAACCATGATAGCTAGGCCATAGTAGCAGGTAGGAGAGGCTAGATCTAAAATTTGAGCTACCTGACCCACTCATAGCAGTGGGCTCTGCAGTTTAGGATCGAGTAGTATGTGGTGCAGTCAACAGAGCACTGGGGTGGCTATGAAGGGATCTGGGTTCCATTTCAGCTATTTCTCCACATCTTGATTACTGTACCTTTAAAATTATCACAGTAGCAGCTAAGAGAGGCTAGCTCCATTGCTGGGTAACCTTGGGCAAGTCACTTCATCTCTGTGTGCCTCCACTTCCCCATTGGTAAAATTAGCATAATGATACTGACCACCTTTGCAAAGCGCTTTGAGATCTGAGAGTGAAAAGCACTGTGGAAGTGAAACATTTTTGACAGCTTGTATGACTGCTGGTTGAAGTTCATCATTTTACTGGGCAGTTGCTTTGGAAGCTTCCACAAATACTAAACTTCTAAGAACTTTTAAAAAAAAATTGGTAATAACTTTGCTTGTTAAATATTGGTGTTTGGGTGTGAGCCCAAGACACAGTACCTTCAGGGGCTCTCAAGCCTGCCAGAGTTGTGTGAATCAAAAAGTCAAATTTTTTTTTATAATTAGAAACTCATGTCATGATCATCACTGGGAAAGTGTGAATTTGCTTTAAAATTTTAAAAGCTGGTCTATAACAAAATCTTATCCTTTCTATTAGGGAGCTCGAATGGTTCGTGAACTCTTTGAAATGGCCAGAACTAAGAAAGCATGTCTTATATTTTTTGATGAAATTGATGCCATTGGAGGTAAGCTTCCAGCAATCATAGCTTATTTTTGGTGGCAAACTTTTAAAACTATAACAAGACAATTCCTTGATTTTATAATTCTCTCTCTTCACACTGTACTTTGTAGCTATCAAGATGTTTTCATTCCTTAAATTATTACAGCTGTGTAAACTTGAGAAAACTGTTACTCCAAACTCAGTTTTGCTATATTTACTGCAGAGGAAACTATCAAGAAATAGTTAATAAGATATTAACTCTAATCCCAAATGCAAATCCTTACTTTGTATTTTGATTATAGAAATAAACATTTTTTAAAAATGTTTAGGAATTAAACTATTTAGCAACTTGCTCATATCATATTTGTAAGATCTCCGGTCTTAAGTTTAATTTAACAGAAATTAAACTGAATGTAAACTTAGCATTTCTTCACACTTCTTCTGAAACCTGTCTTCCTTACCAATCTCATTTGTTTGTATGCTTGAGTGAGGTTCACAAAAGCTGACCTTCAGTTCTTTAATGATGCCAAAGTATTTTGTTTTGAGGAAGGTTAAATGGATTTTGTAAACCTAAGGAATGTTGGTGTGCTCCTCACTGAGGAGAGCAATATCCATCTTTCTCAAACAAGAGATAAAAATATTTTGCCTACTTCACTTATCTGAAGATGATGCATTCCAAATAAGCAAGGATACATATTTTGGTAATTGTCATGAATATACATTCAGCTGTGACTGTTATGTCCTTCATTTGTTTGTAAATGCAATGGGATTTATCCTCACTATAAAAGTGCATTTTCTACAACTTGATGTGTAATTGTCTGCTGTCTGCAGGTGCTCGTTTTGATGATGGGGCTGGAGGAGACAATGAAGTGCAGCGTACTATGCTGGAGCTGATCAACCAGCTGGATGGATTTGATCCGAGAGGCAATATTAAAGTGCTGATGGCAACAAACAGACCTGATACATTGGATCCAGCACTGATGAGGCCTGGGAGACTGGACAGGAAGATTGAATTTAGCTTACCTGATCTTGAGGTTAGAACTGCTTGTTTTCAGTGCTAAGCAAAGTGAGAGAGCAGTAGTGGTTTCAGACTTTAATAGTCTTCTGTAGTTTAGAGAGGTAACAATCTCACCTTTTAAGAGCGATACACTTGATCTTCATTGGATCAAATGTGCAAAAAAAAAAGCCCTCCACCTACACTATGTAAGAGTCCCATCTCCACAGCCCTAGAAAGTAACAATGCTGTGCAATGCACTTCCCAAATTGACAAATCCAGACTCTGTTGGACCAAGTCAGGAAATAGATTCTAAGTTGTAGCCCCGTCCCTCCTCTTGATTTACATTACAAGGAGAGAGAAGGTCTCTTGTGACTTATTTTCAAGCACCTTTAATTAGTATCTTTACTGTACATCATACAACAAGTATTCTGGCTTTGTAGCAGTAGGTGGAGTATGAAACAAAGACTGTCTCCCTATCTGAAGTTGTGTTCAACCAGGCACTGGCTGAACATTCTGTTTTGCTTCCTGTCTCCCAGCATATTCTTTTTTTCACCCACACCATTGAATTTCTGTTTTCAGGGAAGAACTCACATATTCAAAATTCATGCTCGTTCAATGAGTGTTGAAAGAGATATAAGATTTGAGTTGCTGGCTCGACTGTGTCCTAATAGCACAGGTAAGATGAATTCTATGAGTTACACGCTGATTCTGTTTTGTGTAAAGTGCTCAGTGTGCTAGTGTTAAAATCCATCGTCTGTTTCTTTGAAAGGTGCTGAAATTCGCAGCGTCTGCACAGAGGCAGGCATGTTTGCCATCAGAGCACGTCGAAAAATTGCTACAGAGAAGGACTTCTTAGAAGCTGTGAACAAAGTCATTAAGTCATATGCAAAATTCAGTGCTACACCTAGATATATGACCTACAACTAACTACTTAAAATTGAAGAAAAATATGTTCTGATTGTGTTTCAGAAAGATTAACAAAGTCTGAGTAACTGCTAGGATGTGTTTGCTGTCTAATCTCATGCAGAGTCTAGAAATAAAATATTTCATTCCAAATTATAAGCTTGTAGTTTTTTTTTTTCTTTTTAAATAATTGATGTACTAGGAAGTCATAGAAGACACCCTAAAAGCTTAAGGGTGAAACCAATCAGATTAAGTTGAATACACTGTTTTAACTGTCAAATTCTTGATTTCTGAGGGTGCCCCTAGCAGGCTAAGTGCTACACAAAAAAATAAAACCTTGTCCTTATAATTTAAAAACCACATAGCAAGGAAGGTACAGTATAGTGCTAGATTACTATTAAAAGTGAAAACTTTACTTTTCTCTGGTTTTGGTTTAAGACTGTGTTTAGCTTGGCTAATGAAAATCAATGAGTCTGTTTCTAGTTGATTTTCAGTGCTCAAGTACAGCATGGTGGTATTGTACTAAAGAGAAAAAAATCAATTTTTAATTTTTTTTTAAACCCAACAAATCTTAGACACCTTTGGTCTGTTCCTTTCTATTTTTATCATAAAACTTGCTAAGTGTAAGTTTAGTCTTAAACTGACTTCTTATTGTTTTCCACTTTCTGCCTTCCAGTTCCTGGTTGCTGGCAGAGACTGGAGTAGGCTAGTTAAATTAACTCCACTCCCAGGAGTTTGTTTTGATTGCTAAAGAATACTAGTCTGAGGCTTCCTCTCAACAGCTGGATTTTTAAAGGAAAAACCTAAAACTCGTCTGCTTGGAGCAAAGTTGTTCAAGAGGCTGCTTCAAAGATAGTGGAAGAGCATTGCAAGCCTGCACTTATTCCTAAATTCTAATACTGCTGCTGCAGCACTTGTGCTCTAGCAGCTGAATTATAAACTCAGTTGTTGAAAGGTGGATAAAGCTTTGTAAAATGTGTTTAGTGCCTTTCCCACCAACATTCACAGTTAAAGGGAGACAGAATTAGTCCAAGCAAAAAAAGCCTCTTGCTTTAATTTAAGGATCAAGAAGAGCATGCCTGGAAACCAAAAAAGACTGTGTGACTGGAAGTCAGTGAGCAAAATGAAGGGATGGATTACTTTGCCCATCACACTTTTGGCATTCTTAGTTAATAGGATAAAGTTGGGGGGGGGGGGGAAGACTGAATGTTTCATCATGGTCTGGGACCTGAGGCTGTGCTGCTACATCCTTATTCTGAGCTGTTCTTGACAAAGTGAGGGCCCAGATGCCATCATCACCTCCACTGGCTCTGGTTGGGACCTTTTAGTTCTTGCTGTCATGCTCCATATGAGCTGCTTCTCTGCCTTTTTTTCTTTCCTGTCCCTCCCCTTTTGCCTCATGAATAAGCACCTTGCAGAGGGAGCTAGCAAGCCTGTGTTATTTGAAACAGAGGTTCTCAATTGTGGAGAAGGAGGCATGAAAAGGCAGAGCAGTGAGTATGTGTTGACTGGGTACTCAGCTTTGAAGCCATAACTGTAATAAGGGAGGGACAGCATGGTACTACTACCCTTCTCTGTACTGGAAGCAGTGCTGCCTTCCAAACGCAGTCAGGGAGCTTCTTACTTAAATGACTCTTTATGCCTTGTTCTAATATTTAGTGAGTTGAAAAAGTACTGACAAAGAAGGGTGGAAAGAATAAAGAAGTGTGAGTACTGCTTGTGACCAATGAGGCAACTAGAAGTTTGGCTCATCTTGGTGGGGTTAATAAGCCTGTGCTCTGTTTGAATTGCTCCAATGCTGAGGCTACAACCAAGTCAACCTCAGACACAGCATTTTCTAACTGCTGCTTAGCTACATCTACACAGGCATGATTTTCCAGAAATGCTTTTAACAGAAAAGTTTTTCGTTAAAAGCATTTTCGGAAAAGCACAGCTAGAGTGGTAGGATGCTTTTCCATAAAAGCATCCATGGCCAATCTAGACGTGCTTTTCTGCAAAAAAGCCCCAATCGTCGTTTTTGGAATCGGGGCTTTTTTGCAGATGATAGTAACACAGAAAACACTACTGTGCTGTCTACACTGTCCCTTTTCCAGAAAAAGACTTTTGCCCGAACAGGAGCGGCATAGTTTTTCTGGAAAAGCACTGATAATTTTACATTAGATCAGTGCTTTTCTGGAAATTCAAGCGGCCAGTGTAGACAGCTGGCAAGTTTTTCCAGAAAAGCTGCTGATTTTCCAGAATAACTTGCCAGCGTAGACACAGCCCTTGTGTCTAAGAGAAAGCAGCATCACAGTCACAGCAGCAACCACAGTAACCAGACAGACAAAAGCAAGCAGAGTTAGTATCCTTTTCTATCAGTTTTATTTGGGACATATTTTAGGTTATGTATCTCCTGCAATCTCTTATCCTTTCAAAAAAAGGTGGAGCTAAACTTTATAGCTTCTTAAAATTCTGGTCCAGATTTTCCAAAGTAATTAGAGCTCTGAGCACCCAAATTGATACTTGTTAAAGATAACTGATCTTCCATTGTCAAATGTCATGAGTCACTTTTGAAAACCATGGGCATTAGCTCATACATTAAAGAATTTCATTTCCTAAAGCAGTGCTTCAGGATTTTAAAAAAAAACCAGTCAGTTGAACCCCTCTTTATTTAGGAAGTTGAAGACAGAACATTTTGACATTAACTAAAAAACTGTACAGCTAAAAAATATACTGCATGTTGATACAAAAGGACTGTTAATCTAGATTATCACAAAATTTACCTTGGCACTAGAATAAAAATGTTCCTGTGATACATTAAGTACATTCACTTAATCCTTTTTAATTCCAGTCATGGTTTCCTTGCTGATGCCATCTCTGCCTATCTGGACTGCTAATGGATTAAAGGCAAGGCTTTAACCTCCTCTTCTACCCTGAGCAGTATGACCAACAGCCCAGAACCTTTGATAATCATAAAATGACCCTTCAATTAATGCTAACTGAAAAAAATGGACTGTAACTACCTGGGTTAAAACTTTCTACTAGGTTTCATTTTAATTGCAGTAGCTGAAGTGAAAATTGTAAAGAGAATAGGAGTTCCACTTTAAGCAAGGACAGAGCTCTGACAGCATCAGAGAATATTTAAATTTGAAGAAGTTCAAATGCTTTAAGTTTTGTATACTTAAATCAATGAAAACTTGCTATTGCAAAGCATTTAAAAGCATGCTCAGGGACTGGCAGCACTATGGCATGGAAGAGACCTATTCAATCATCTACATCTAATTTTATTTTAGGCCTTGCCTATTTGCCTGTAGAAATTTAAAAAGAGACTGTAGAAGTCACACCCCATTTAACCAAGATTATTCTCAACCATTTACTTCTTGGTAATTCTTTGCTATTTTCTAATAGGTATGACTCAACTGTAGCACTAGAATTGTGTAGTAGGAATAATGTACAAGTATATTTGTTTGAAATTCAACCAAAATGAGGAGAATGTTGAGAGGTTAAATATAAAAATAGGAACAGTCTACCATCCAGCTTAAGAAAACAGCAGTTAGTGATACCAAGATGAAATGTCAGAAATCCAGCTATGAGAGGCGTTGTTTTGAACAAGAATCTATTCTATGTACAAAACTGGTGGCAGTTTTTGAATATAAGAAAACCATTTAAGACAATGGTTGGTATACTTCATTGCATTGGCAATTGCAGAAAAGGTATTTTCTGCAAGTTCGCACTTTGCTGTAAACTATGTGACCTCAATTTGCCCATTTACTGCACTCCAAGTGTTTCAATATTTTATCCAAAGTGAACTAATATACAGCTTAGTGCAATATTCTCCAATGCCATGTATTTAAGCTTAACCCCCATCCCCACCAGGATGCTCTACTAGCCTGTCCACTGTAAAAAACATTATTTTCAAAGAAAATTGCATGTTGTCTTAAATTACACCTGGATTCAGATAATACTTGAACTGTGCTCTTCCTTAAGGCAGCAAACTGTCCCATTATTCCTGTAGCAAATAAACTACCCTGCCTCTATATCCGTAGACACGAATAGTCTTAGGCTCCGTTTATACTGTGCAAATTAAGTGGTGGAAGAGTGTCCCTTTCTCAGGAATTATGAGATTTCAGTTCTTCATGTGTGACTCTGAAGAACTAACAGATATCTGAGGCAGTCTGTGGAACAGACACAATCTTCAGCTGGCAGGAGAGAACAGCATCATGAACGGTGTGAAACAGCAAGTTTCTGGTAGATTTTTCAAAAAAATTGAGTCGTGTTAGGTCATCCACAACAGGGCCTGTAAAACAAATACATAAACTGTAACCAGGGAATACCTCTCTCTCACACCTTGTATTATTTAGATTAACTAAGAGAAAGGAAGATAGCTTGCAGCTTTCCCAGCCTCAAGTTTTTTTGTTCAAAAAAAGGTTTGAGACAAATGCAAGCCACATACTACAGGTAAAATACACAAGATTTAAAATGTACAGCTGAGTAGATTTCTAATTAAAGATGTATTAAAGGATAGCTCAGTGGTTTGGCATGCTGTTTGGATCTGGAAGCAGTGCAGTCTAATTGATAAGTCACTGGCCCTGGCATCTGGTTCCAGCTCTGGCAAAGTCCTTGTGCAACTCAGTTTAAACCTTTCTGTGCCTCAGTTTTCCCATCTGCAAAAGGGGCAAAATGTTTGAGCATTGGCATGCTAACCCCAGGGTTGTGTGTTCAGTCCTCAAGCAGGCCATTTAGGGATCTGTCAGGGATGGCTACTTGGGTCCTGCCATGAGGGCAGGGGACTGGACTCCGTGACCTCTCAAGGTCCCTTCCAGTTCTGAGATATACCTATATCCATCTATTGTGTGTATGCTGACACATCCTCATCCAATCCTAATATAGTGATAATCAGTCTCTGGGAGAAATGATAAACTTCCAAATGTCAGAAATTAGAAACATTATTGCACCCAGTTCTCCTCTCACTAACTATAACAGAATGAGCTAGGTCCGATCTACATTACAGCAGAAGGTTGAATTAAGATATGCAACTCCAACTATGTTAATTACGTAGGTAGAGTTGACATGACATAACTTAAATTGCATTTCCATACCATCCACACAAAAGGAGGGCGAGGGAGTCCTGGCAGCTTCCCTTCTTGGGGGGAGGAGGAGGAGTACAGCACTGACAGGCGCGCCCTCTGAGCTCAATAAATGCCAACCCCTCCAAACTCTGTAACTTACCACTACAGCCAGCTATACAAAGACACACACCAACTTCTTCATATTCTTTTATAACCTGCAGAAGTATAAATGGAGGTTTACTCTTTAGAAATACCCTTTGTACATATCACAATTCCATTGGTATAAGACCAACCACAAAATGTATTTTTAAAAGGAGGGGTTCAGTTGTTTAAGTTATTTCCCTATTAAAATAGCTCTTGCACAGAATTACCTTCTGCTCCTTACAGTGTGCGCGCACGCGCACACACACACACACACACACACACACACACACTTTGTAGTTTAACTTGACCTGAGTAGCACAAGATATTTACACATTCCCCAGAAGATCAGCAAAAACTTAACTTTGATGCTAAAACCTAAAGTAATTAGAGTTAATGCAAGATCATCTTATTTGGCCCTCTTTTTTTTTTTTTTTTTTTTTTTTTTTCGGGGCACTAAAAGTATTTTGGGGGAGGGAAAATAAAACATG